ACACACACACACACACACACACACACACACATGCATGGACACACACACACGCACACACATATACACATATACATGCAAGAGGGGGAAAGTGAACTACACGTAAATGTCATCTCTTGTAGAAATATTTACTACTGGTTCCAAACAACTGGGGGGCTTCAGTGGCTAAGTAAGCAGTAAGTTCAGACTAAAAAAAATAATGCCAACTAAGTGTCAGTGACACAGGGTTTAAATTGGTGGTCAATGGGATGTGTCCTTGACCAAGACGTCATGACAACTTATCTAACAAAAACTAAACAAACAGAGCGCTGCACAGTGACGACCAGCAATGGCACGTTAGTGAAATTATTCCTTTCGGTGTAATATTGCGTTTTTATGTATTTTTTTAAATGTATGAATCTATGATGATGTATGTATTTATATAATATGTATGTTTGCTATTTTAATCCAAATTTCCCCATGGGAATCAATAAAATGTAATGAATATATTTTATTTATTATTTATGAAAGCGTAGCTTTCAAAGCTCTGCTCGTGACCACGTGAAATTTCTTTCTTTTTTTAAAGTTTAGTTTTACTTCGAGTTTTACAACACTTGTAGCTCAAGTAGGTCATATAACTGTCGAAGGTTAGATGTGGTATTAATTAAAGAGTAACGTACAAGGGAAAACGGAGAAACAATAAGGATGGAAGATGTTTCATCAGAAAGAAGGAGCAAACCACACCAGAGCATCCTCCAAGCACCCACATGAATTTCAGACCTTCATATCTGTGTCCTATGCACATATTTTTCAACCTTTCATGAATTCAGAACAATGGTACAGGAAACAAGACAGACTATATTATTATTATTGATCACCTCCCGTAAGGGAAGTTAAAAGGCCAAGTTCAATCCGCGTTTGATTGTGATGACTAAGGCCGAAATCAGCGTGGATGAGAACAGCCGGATGTCTGGTGGCCTGTATGAACTGGGTGGGGGATTGGGGGGTGGGGTGGAGGGAGAGGGAGATTAAGAGGGAGGGAGGGAGAGAGAGAGAGAGAGAGAG